TCGTTTTTCGACCCGATGGAGGCCGAGACTGAAGTAACAAGAACAAATTGGTGGTATTTAGGATCTGGGTTTGGTGGCTTTGATATTTCTTCACTATTGTTGTTATGTGTATCTCTGTGTATCTGGAAAAAGGAAAAGAAAGATTGTAGGGAATGGCTTTGCATCCCTTTGATTAGCTGTGTAAAAGTGCTGCAATTCTTTATCCCTTTAGGCAACAAGTAAATGTCAACGTTGAATGTGTATATATGTAATGTTCTCATCATTTGATGATTCTTGTAGTTTGTGCATTCTTATTATCGTTGTACTTTCATGATACGATGGTGATAATTCAAACGTTTAGACAAAAGTATATATCTAAACGTTTAAATTCATCTACGTATTATTGTAACACTTGCTAATGTACCTCATAGTTGTGTCGTACCCTCTTTAGTTGTAAAATATGATGTTGTACCTAGTTGTTTAAATCAAATCTCCATTTTGGTACAACGAGAGAGAGTTTACTATAGTCAGTGTAGTGAAATTTGTGGAACTAATCATGCTTTTACGCGTGCGACCAAAAACATAAGCCGATTGTTGAACTCACTCTTGCTCAGCCACACCACCTATAACGACCCAGATGCACCGCTAGCAGATATTGTCCTCTTTAGGCTTTCTCTTAAGGCTTTAAAACGCATTTGCTAGAGGAAGGTTTCCACACCTTTATAAATGGTGGTTTGTTCTCCTCCCCAACTCCCACAATCCACTCCCTTCGGGGCCCAACGTCCTCGCTGGCACTCTTTCCTTCCTCCAAAGGATGTGTGACCGGCCCCCAAATCCACCCCCCTTTGGGGCCTAGCGTCCTTACTGGCACATCGCCTCGTATCTACCCCCTTCGGGGAACAGCGAGAAAGCAGACACGTCGTCAGTGTCTGGCTTTGATACCATTTGTAATGGCCCAAATCCACCGCTAGCAAATATTGTCCTAGTTGAGCTTTTCCTTTTGGGCTTCTCCTCAAGGCTTTAAAACGCGTCTGCTAGGGGAAGGTTTTCACACCCTTATAAATGGTGGTTTGTTCTCCCCCCAACCAATGTGGGACATCACACCACCATTGGTGCAAGCAAGTAAATTTATTTGGCTCATTTCTTTCGGTAAATTCAATTGGGTTGTTTCTGTTCATAAGATTTTGATTGTTTTAGTTGCATGTTAATTTGACGAATTACTGGGTTCATTTCCATTGAGTGTGTTGTGTCGATGTTGTTCTCGGAAGCTATTCAAAGACGGATAATACGACAAAGGTGTTATAACATTTTATTTTTATTTTGTGTTTAAGCTTTCTACAAACAAATGGTAAGAACAAAGTTGATAGCAATGGTAATGTCAATGTCCAAAACCAAAAACAAAATGGTATCATTATGATGCCTTAGGGCTTCCACCACTTGAATTAATTAAAGTCTCTTTGGTCTTTATAATTAGCCTACCAAATTTGAATCTCTCTTTCTTTCTTTTAGTGAACTTAGTCACCCAAAGTATTCTAACAAAACTAACCTTTAAAATCCTCCATTTGTATCATTATCATTACAAAAGTCTATTATTTAAAATAAAATAAGACGACTCGAAATTTTAAGTGTTAAAGGTCAATTAAGTTGGTTAGAAACTGGATAATAATGTCGTTTTATGGGTCAATACTTAATGAGTTTCGTGTCTTACAGAGTTAGACAATAGGGATTCAGTTGACTTGGATGTTTAAATCCAATGTATTGTCTATTTAGTTGCCCACTTATATACGTCGAGAAAAAAAATCAATATTTTCATATTATACTTTATAAATATTTATATTGTTTTTAGTTTTTAAAATTGGACTAAAATTTCAATAAGATGTATTTTTTTAAAAAAATAAAAACTAATAGACATAATATTGAGTTTAATTAAATAAAAATAATTGTCAAACGTTATTTTAATTCAAAGAATAATATGTGGTGTTGACTGAGTTGCCTACTAGAAATAGAGCTCGATTGAACACGTGGGTGTTCAAAATCAAGGCTAAATCAGATGAGAAAAAGGGCGTTCGAGGCTCGGTTAGTAGTTAACAATATTCACAAAGAAAATACATTGGGTACGCTGAAATCTTTTCTCGTGTTCTGAAAATAACTACTATCCAAATTTTTTTTAGTATTGTTGCAACTTGAGCAAATGGATGTAAAAACATCATCTTTACACGGAGATCTAGATGAGAAGATCTATATGCAGCACTTGGAAAGGTTTGTAGTTCCAGGCAAGGAACACATGATCTATAACCTCAATAGAAGCTTGTATGGACTGAAATAAGCACGAGACGATGATACAAGAAGTTTGACTCCTTCATGTGAAAGAGTGGTTTCTATAGGAGTGAAAATAATCCGTGTTGTTTCTTCAAGTAATACACTAGTTCTTATGTGTTTCTATTCCTATACGGGAGTGATATACTGATGGTAAGATTCTTGGGACGAGATAGATCTAATTTGCACATTAAATCTATCCCAAAGGTAGTACAGTGAGAAAACGTTATCCAAATTCATGATGAATGATTCTAAACCTAGGATTACCCGTTCGGCAAATCGTATTAAATTGTCAAAGGAGAAATCTCCTAAGATAGTTGATGAACGTGAGCACCTGACACCAGTTTCATACGCTTCTATAGTTGGGAGTTTGATGTATGTCATGATCTATACCAAACCTGATATAACACATGTAGTGAGAGTTTTTAGCAAGTACAAGACAAACGAAGGGAAAGAACATTAGGCAGTTGTGAACTGACTTCTGAAATATCTGAAAGGTACATCTAGTAGTTTTGCAAGGTTTTGTGATTCTGATCTTAGTCGAGATGTAGACTCGAGGAAGAGCACATCTAAATATATCTACATTATAGACGGAATAGCAGTGAGTTGGTTGTGCACGCTTTATAAATGTGTGTTGCTCTTTCATTTGTTTAAGTTGAGTACGTGGTGATAATTGAACCTGAAAAGAGGACGATATAGATGACAGAGTATCTAGAAGAATTAGGCAAGAGGCAGCACGAGAAGATTCTTTATACATATAGTTAGAGTGTCGTACAATTAGTGAAGCGTTCGAAGAATTTAGTTATTCCTGCGTAAGTTGCTTCGAGATAACTATGATCGTTTAAATTTTTTTCTACGTGCCTTCTTCATTCAAAAGAAATTTCACGTGTTAGAAATATCTAAGCGTCACATGGAGGTAGAAATAAATTTGAACGTTCTTTAGACAAGACTAACGTGTGTAACCCACCTCCTCAAAGCATTTTTGCGCGTTATCTAAGACAAAAATACAATTCAACATGAGTTAAATGCATCTACCCCACTTCTCGAAACTTTGAAAGTATCTAAAAAGCGCTCAAATAGCTTAAAGGTGTCTAAAGTGTCACATGGGACCAAAATGAATTTGAACGTTGTCTAGCTGAGCTTAACATGTGTTTTCCGATCGTTTAAAACTTTACAAACGTCTTAAAGGTGCCTACGTGCACTCTGTGGCCAAAACTCAACTCGAAGCAAGCTTAACACGCATACCCTGCTTCCCAAAACCTTGGAAGTGTTCAAAAGGTGCCCTTAAGTAGCATACAAATGTCTAAATAATGCATGAGCCTCTCGTCATGTCTCTCGTGGAGGTCAATTATACTATGATGATTAACTAAACTTAGTCATATTGCATGGAACATTGTCTGTAATAGCCCTAACTCAACATTAGCAAATATCGTCCGCTTTGGTCTGTTACGTATCGTCAACTTCACGGTTTTAAAACGCATATACTATGGAGAGGGATCTAGTCTTACTCCGACCAGTGTCTCGCATCGTCCGATGACTAGCTCTTATACTATTTGTAACAGTTCAAGCCCACCGCTAGCATATATTATCTACTTTTGTCTGTTATGTATTGTCGTTAATCTCACGATTTTAAAATGTGTCTGTTACGGAGAGGTTTCCACAACTTTATAAGAAATGGTTCATTCTTCTCTCCAACCAATATTGGATCTCAAGAAATGTACGTGAAAAATTTAATACCATTAATTAAAAAATATATAAAATTGTTAAATTACATGTTTAACCTCAATATATTTGAAAGAATTGAGGTGCGTCATTCATTTATTTTGGGAATATTTAAATAATGGAATATTTTGGTGGCCGTTTATTACTGTTAACCAATCAGGTTGGCTTTTCTGCTGTCTATGAGTTGTTAACGAATCCCCTTCCCATTCTAACTAACTAAACCGCGTTTTCCACACTCCTAATTATATATATATATTACACGGCGATAGACTCGACCCGCTCCTACCCATCCCGTCTGAGGATACGCATAGCCCTCGATTTATGTGTTATTCGTTCCTCCCGAGCACTAGTTTCATTCCCGAGGATACGAAAGCCCAGTCAACAAAAAAGTGAAGGTAGAAAAACAAAATTCTTACCTCACCACACCGCAAGCGTCCTTCTTAGGTCGGCATTTGGGGCAATCCAGCCCTGAGCAATAAGAGGCCGGAGGCAAAGGTTATTCTAATCCCAACTTTTGTGTTGGGAAGTATGCTCTAGCGATGCCTGCCAGCTTCTGATACATAATATGAATTCTAGTCGTCCGCCGCTGTATATATAGTGTTTTAATAGATGTTTGGAACAATCTAATTTTTAGATGGGAATAAATTTATTATTTAATAAGAATTGTTTGGGTAGAAAATTTAGTGATGGTAAAAACAATTTTTACCCTTAATTAATTAAAAAATAAAAAGTTAACTGTAAAAGTTTAAACATTTAACTGAATTAATTTAATGTAGAAATTAAAAATTGATAAAATGTGGAATTTCTTTTTATTTTTTATTTTTTAATGGATCGACCGTTAAAGGAACCATCGGACGAGTGGAAAGGACAGTTCGTAAAGGTCAACCTCTATCCCATAGCCACCAAAAACACAGTTTTGAACTGTACAACCAAACCCAAGTTCATTAATTAATTAAAATTTAATTAAAATAAATCAAATAATCATGATTATCTCTTCAATAATTTAAATTTCCAAATACACCCAATAAATAAATTACTGATATTTGTACACTAACAAATTAATCCCAATAATCTAAACCCATAATTAAAATCAAACAAAAAATATTTATAAAAAAAAAATTGGATTTAGGGTCGCCGGAATCTGAATCATTCCACCGGAAGCAAAAGCCTCGGCTTCTTCGACGGGTGAGGACTCTGCACTTCCTCCTCCACATACTTCTCCCGGATTTGACTTTGACTTTGACTTTTTTCTCGCCGGTGACTGTCCGGGAATCTCGGCGAGAACTCCGGCAAGGCCGGCACGTTGAGATCGAAGTCCCGGACATGGGTGTGCGTGAGAGTGGAGTCGCCGTTACTATCGGAACCAGCAGAGAGGGTTTTATTGTTGTTGCCGTCGTAGTGGCGTCGTTTGTGGCCACCGAGAGCCTGGCCAGTGGGGAAACACTTGAAACAGATGGAACACTGGTGGGTCCTTGTAGAAGAAGAGACGGCGGAAGTGGTGGAATCTGTGTCGGCGGCGGCGTCTGATTTCCGGTGGCTGGACTTATGGCCGCCGAGGGCTTGGTAAGAAGAGAAGGACTTATTACAAAGGGAACAAGAATAAGGCAATTTTGTGGGAGATGGGATGTTTCCGCCGTGTGCGAGCATGAGAAGGGAAAAGGCTAAGTGCTCGTCGTCGGAGTCGAGCGGAGGGTTGGTTGAGCGCTTGGATGGCTTGACCCATGGCTCGGTCGGGGAATTGAGAGCTTGCAAGGCCATGGTGGGGTTTGAGGGGAAGGGAGGGGGGAGGTGGGTTATAAAGGGGAAGGGCGGGGGGAAGGTCGGTCAACTGAAATGGAGCGATGGCGGTGCCTGGGACTCTTTCCAAGTCAAAACAAAATTTTATTTTTTTATTTTTTTATTTTTTATTTTTAAATGGGAGAAGGACTAGAGTGTACTAGTGAATGGTTGGAGTTTTCTGAGCTGCCACCTCGACCAATGTGGAGTCTTCCTTTTTCTTTTATTTGCTTACCTAATTTCCACCTCATTCTTTTTTTTTTTTTTGTCATTTTACTAAATGAAATTGACTTTTTTTTTTTATGGGTCAGCTCGACTAACCTAAATAAAAATAAAAAGTATTTAAAATATTTAACGTTCGTAATTGATATTAATAATGAATTATGACTGCTAAATGTTTAATATTTGAATTTTATGAGATTTTAGTTATTAATATGATAGGTACGATAGATAAATAAAATTTTTTTAAATAATAATAATTATAAAAAAAATGGTTGAATTTTTTTTTTTAAGCATATTTGAGTTTAATGTATTTTAATAGAATAAGAATAAATAAATAAATATATAAAAATGAAGGGAGAGAGAGAGAGAGAGGGAATAAGTGGAAAGAGAGCAAAACTTAGGGAGAAACTTCGGCTGTCGCCCACGTGTATTCTTATCCCATTTTCCTTTATTTCTTCCACTTCCACTCATAATCCCTTTCATTTCCAACTCACACCAACTTATTTTTCCCATTTTTCCATTTATTTTTATTCCTTTTTTAATTTTTTAAAATGGTTTTTCTTTAATTCATGTTTAAAATTTTATATTATCTAATTAATTTTAAATTTTTATATTTAATAAGTTTTTTAATTTTTTAGTTTTATATTTAGTAGGTAAAACGATGAAAATACTAAAATATCCCTATACTATCTCACTTATTGATGGACATTGCAGTCCAGCGTCACCATTTCGCCTACTACCTTGATGAGAACTTGGACAACTAACTCTCAAAACCACCTAGAATGACCCCTCCAACTCACTTTAAGTAAGACGCCTCTACTCAGGTCCAAGGTCTCTCAATGCCATGTCGCTCTCATCTTGTCATCTTGATCCCCATCGACATGGTTTATATGTCTTGACACCATTCCGAGTCTCGAGATATCGTCACAGACGATTGAACATACATGCGCAGGCAGCGTGTGTGGTTGAACAAGCTTAGATTCCGCACGAACTATGTTTGATTGATAAAGACAAATCTCGCTTAAGGTCCGAAGCCATGGAAGGAAAAATATATATAGGGCGTTAAATTTTAAATCTAATAAAAGAATTGATAACTCATAAATTTATTAAAAAATTATTAAACATATTTTTAAATGCATTTTGTGGAGTCTCCACCCTACGTTTACGTGACACCAACTGTCAGTGACGTCATCACTAAGCGCTGCTATTTCGCCACTTCAACGCGTGTACTTTTCCTTTTTATGGGGCCGTGTTCACATGCGTCCTGTAACCGACAAATAAATTGTCACACTTAACCACGTGTATTTATTTCATTGGCTTCTTTGACTGAAACCCCTCAACGTGGCATCTTGCTCACCCACCACTTGCCACGTAACCCACTCCCACACCCCTTTTCAACATGTTTAATATTTTTGTGGAGTATAAATACGTGGCGAATATAACCAAGTTAGTTCTCAACTTCTTTTAATTTTATATTTTTATTATCTTTTTATACTTTCAAATATTATATTAAACAGACCACATTCATAATCTCATGATATATATATATATATATATATATATCGTGATATATTTGTTTTTACGTTCGCTAAAATCGATAACTTCGTGATAACGAAACTATTGTTTAACTTGAAGTTGAAGATTTAACTCGAAATGATACGTAGTTTTTGAAATTAGAGTTGTGTTTCTGCCTAATTTATTCTGTTAATCCGTAGGCATAAAGATGAATTTATAGAAGTTGAGGCACCGTCAAGACATTATCTTTTCAAAATAGCGTTTTCACAAATGAAAAGGTTGTGCCAAGATTTTATACGTGATCTTAATGGTGACACACTTGCAGACTCAATTGGATAACTTAAGTGATATATGCTAGACGAACACGACTCTCCACAATGGTATGATATTGTCCACTTTGAGCATAAGCTCTCATGACTTTGCTTTGGGCTTCCCGAAAAGGTCTCACACCAATGGAGTTAGTATTCCTCACTTATAAACCCATGATCATTCCTTAAATTAGCCGATGTGGAACTTTCATCATCCAACACCTCCCCTCGAACAAAGTGCGCCTCCCTTTATTGAGGCTCGACTCCTTTGGAGTCTTGGTCATTTTTTACTACCTTCGAGGAGGCTTGACTCCTTTTTCTTTTGGAGTTCTTTACTCCTTTTCTTTTGGAGTTCTTTACTCCTTTTCTTTTGGAGTTCTTTGTTCGACATTTGAGGATTTACCAATCTATTGACACGACTAAGTTTAGGGCATGGTACATACCTGTGGCCTATTTTATTCTATGTTTATGTAATGTTTACTGTGATTATATGAGATGTTATGAGTATGATGTGATGCATGTACTTCCAGTATGTTATGCTATGTAAGTTATGATATTATGTTCACATTCTACTTATGAAACGTTATTGAGTCATGTATGATAATATTGAGCATGAGATACTTCTCCCGTATGTTTTGTATGGACGTTATACCATGTTACAATAAGCACCTCTTTCCTTCCATTGGGTTCCGGCAACATGAGCATGCACTAGCTTGTAATCAAGCCTAAGGGGTATATGAGCCTACCAGTGGGTTTATGTGCACGTGCGTAAATCATGGGTAGAGAATTACTATCTATCCAACCCTACTCGAAAAGAGAATGTAAAGCTCAAGAACAATCACGAAAAGATAGGTCTCATCATAAATCATGATTGCATTTTTAAATATTCGAATCATGTTTAATATTTTTCAGGTAAAGATAAGACATCGATGTATGATACAGAGGTTGTTTTTCTTTTCGTGGTAACAATTTTAAAATTTTAAATGAATTTTGTTTAAAGAGTTAGGTAAGAGCCCAAAAGATAGCGAGACTATTGGGCCTCAAGCGTTTGGCTGGGCTTGGGCTTGGGCTTGGGCTTAAAGCCCAATTGCGTAGTTCCGTGTAATTTTGGTTTTGTTTCCCTTTCTCTTTGTTTTGTTGTTAGCAGAACAGCGAGTGACCTCGATCAGAGAAGAAGTCGAAGACCTCAAAAAATTTATCGGCAAAATCCGGCCAAGCTTCACACCTGGCCTTCTCCATGGCGACTTCTTCACCTCTTCATATCTCTGCTACGCCGTCGTTGGCCGTCGGCAGCTCAAAGTCATCATTTCTTTTCGGTACCCATCTCCCTTTCCCCTCCTCTCGCCCAAGAACTTCATATCGCAGATACTTTTTTTCTCCCTCTGCCAAAAAATCGATGGACCACATTCCTAAGCAATTCAGAGAAGAGAATCTCAAAGATGGCTGTAAGTTTCCGATATTGAACTGTCTGGCCGGAATCATTATATCATTTGAAGTTATTTATTTGATTCCGTTCGTTTTCTGATGAAATTAATTGATTGTTTGGTAACTTGGAAAATTTCTGTTCGTTCTGCGTTTTCTTTTCATGTGTTCTTGATGATTTGTGGTGGTCTTTCGATGGCCGGAGATTTTGGAGAGAGTAAATTTAATCTTGTATTAATAATAGTTTAAGACAGAGTGCAACTGGTCGACAGTAAACTGAAATTGCTACCTCATTGGGGAGTTGTCTTTGAATCCACGTTCATTTTTCTTTTGTTAATTCTAGTTCCATCGTTATTTTCATGAGTTTGATCCTGACGAAAATAAACAATATCATTGCCTAAATCTCCATATCTCCTGTTCTTATAGTGATGGAGAACTACGAGAACGTTCCTCAATCACTTTATGGCCTTACACCTTCACAACTGGACATGTTCATGACAGAAGATAATCCTGTCAGGCGACAGTCAGAATTAGTTACTGAGGTTCTTTTCTCATTTGATCTTGAGAGTTCAGTAATTTCTATAAATTTGCAAATCCATAGAAACAGGCACATTTACTTTTTGCTGGAAGCTCAGTATTGTTCAAGCCAAGCATTATTATTGTGCTTTAGTAACCACAACGATTGCTTGTTACCTGGCAGGAAAGCATCTCATCCGCCCACAGCTATTTGACTAATGGTGGAATGTGGAGTCTATCAGGCATGGATGGAAAAAAGGGTCCATCAAAATATAGTATGAGCGCTAGTATGTATCGTGGGGGAGGAAGGGGATATGGGCGACGCCAATCAGCTCCTCCTGATTTGCCTTCTTTGCTCTTGGACGCTCGTATAGTCTATTTGGGCATGCCCGTGAGCCACTAAAATATTTATTCTTTACTCAATTCTACTTTGCAAGATATTTTTTCTCAGGGGTACATCACTGTATTTTGTTGAAATAAATGCAGATCGTACCAGCAGTGACTGAGCTTCTTGTTGCTCAGTTTATGTGGCTAGACTATGATAACCCATCAAAGCCTATATATCTCTACATAAACTCTCCGGGGACGCAGGTTATTAATTGATATTTCCTTAATCCATGAAGTATTATATTTCCTGTTCTAACGAAGCTTGTACTATCGTTGTAATCTTCATTGTTTTGACCATCTTGTTATTTTAATATTCAAGACCTAGTTTTTGTTGCTTTGGTGCTTGTTGATAACTTAGAATGAGAAGATGGAGAATGTTGGATTCGAAACTGAAGCATATGCTATAGCAGATATGATGGCTGTAAGTAGTCTCTTCCTTAACTGAAGTTAATTCCTTTTGTCCAATATTTGTCATTGAATAACTACGTACCTGGTCTTTGAATTTGTTGGTAAAATGCATTCCTTGAAAAAGAAAAAAAAAAATTGATCAGTAAGAAAAATGGAAGTTGGGGAGGTTATAAAAATAAAAAGAAGGCAACGACCATCGTAGGAGCCGCCAAAAATGAACAAACAGGA